CGGGAAACAAGCAACAACAAAATAACACCACCCTCCTGATTCGGCTTAAGAGCAGGGTTGCAAGCCCCCTAAAGGGTCAAGGGTTTGAGGGAAGCCTGGTGCTGGGGGAGGTGTGGTACCTTTTTTTTTTTTTTTTTTTTTGCGGAACCGGGGATTGAACTCAGGCCCTTGCACTTGCCAGGGAAGCGCTTATTCTACTGAGCCATCTCCCCGGCCCGAGCACTCTTATCTTGCTGGGCACTCTCATTATTCATGTATGTACCTGGCTTCTCCATTAGGTTATATGCAAATAGTTATGGGTATGGATTTCTAAGTCTCTTGTCATTCCAGCACGGGAAAAAAAGTATACATCTCTACTACTTACTACTTGTTCAAGCTATTTGTCTTCTTAGAAACTATTTCTTTTTCTTTCTATTTTTGTATTTTAGGGAAGGGTCTACAGGGTGTTCAGGGTCTCACTACTAGATCAGACTCGTACTGATTCTCTTGTTTACAGCCTCCCAAGAGCTGGGATTACAGGTGCGCGCCACCACACCTAGTCTCAATTGCCATCTCAGCACACCCCAGGGGATAGGGCTGGCAAGGCAGGCCCGGGGATCAAACCCCAGGCCCCTGTACCTGCTTGCAGGTGCTTTAATCTACTGAGCTATTTGGCTGGCCCTTCAGAACCTATTTCTTCATAAATAAAATGAGTGGAGGTTAATTATAGTCTTTTCCAAAGGTTTAAGAGTTAAAGGTATAATGCTTGACACCTAGTAAGTTTCAAAGAATGTTTAATGGACAGTATGTACGACATATCTGATCCAGTGTTTGCCTATAGCACACACACACACACACAATGCAGTCCCTCAGCAAATTCAATTTAATAAAGCAATCAGCACAATTAACATGCTGTCTACCTCTCCTGATATACACTGAATACAAAAATGGAGGTTTCTATACTCTTTAACTCTGAAATGTTACCATTTACTCATGTTCTTCCAGTACAAGATTACACTACGATTTATAACTCACATCTCCTTGTTATAATTAAATAACATGAGGTTGGGCCAGGGAGATTGCTCAGTAGAATAAGCGCTAGCCTGGCAAGTGCAAGGTCCTGAGTTCAATCCCCAGTACCACCAAAAAAAAAAAAGGTTTACCTGTGAAGAGTTGTAAAGTATAAAATAGTTTGCAAAAGTTAAATGAAATCTGAAATGGGTGTTCTACAAGGAAATGGAAGATAGTTGTCTACAGTTTACTCATTCTTCAATTTTAATCTGTCATCAATATCTCTACAAAAATTTCCATTAAATGTCAACTATGTCTATAATAGCATTTCACCCTTCAAACACTTTGAATACACTGCTTAATTTAAGAGTAGAAAAATACCTCAAAAATTATAATAAAATCAAATCTAGGAAATTACAGAAAAATGAGAACACAAGAAATTTAATATCACAGTATTTGTATTCTACCTCAGCTGTACTGATACTTATGTGGGATGTATAGCAGGGAAATTAACCTGAGAAAGGTTGTGACTCTGAATTTCTTTTTCTTTCTTCTTCTTCTTTTTTTTTTTAATGTGCTTGGTACAAGGTCTCACTATGGAGCTAGCGATCCTCCTGTTTTCAGCACCCCCAGCACTGACACCGCAGGAGTGTGCCACCACGACCAGACTAGCAGGCTGGCTCAGTGTGCCCAGGGGTGGAGCTGGCATGGCATGTGGTGCCCAATGTTGAACCCAGCCCCCGTGTTTGCCTAAGCAAGCACTTAGTCCCCTGAGCTATGTGACCAGCCCTAACCCAAGAAAGGTTTTGGAAAAATAGTTCTGGCTTTAAATTTGACACCACTAAACAGTAGCTGTGTAACCTAAGCACTGTTAGCTCTTAAGTTTTATATCCTTCCTCTGTAAAATATGAACACCAGTATGAACCTCACAGGGTTGTTGTGAATATTTAATGAGATAACATAAGCTAAATGTTTAGCGAAGTACTTACAACATGGTAAATATCCAGGAAATGTTATTCTACCTGGCAGTGCCTCAGCATTGAAGCTCTTCATAAATACTGCTGAATAAATACATATTGTGAACCTTATATATTTGGAAATAAGGGTACCCACTTCAGTTGTTAAGTTAAGCAATAATTAATAGCAGTAACTCTGGGAGCATTTTACTGTTTAACAATGTGCTCCTAACAACTGTAAGCTTATTTTGACCTCCATAACATCCTCAGGAAAGCAGACATTTTTAAGATACACATTTAAGAGATAAAATGGTAACAAAGCACAGTCATCGGCCGTAATGATCTCTAACCAGATTCTTAGGCTCATAGTTTAAGTGACATCCACTAAAAGGAGGCAAATTCCTGCAAGTTGCCACTCTCCTCAAGTACAGTCAAGCATAGGAGTCCAGTAATAAGCAGAAGACAAGAAACCCCGTCAGAAGCTGATGACGGTACTTCAGTTGCATTGTTTCGGTCCGTGGTGTCCTCCCACACCTCTAGGGCAGAGGCCAAGCCTGTGAGTAGGTGCTCCCTTCCCCACCACAGCCCCCAACAAGCGACCTGGTACCCAAGAGGCCCTCATAAACGTTTGTGGAAATGCTGTGGGATGGTGGTGGGAGGTGTTTCAGAGACCACAACTAACGCCAACTCCGCGGTGGGAATTAAGCATCTCGGGCATGTCTCGAGTCATTGGGCTGGGAAGAATGGCTGAGGGCTGGCGGCGCTAAGGAAAACTACGGAAACTGACCCGCTGAGGGTAGAGGGTAACGGAAGAGGCGAGCCGGGCCGGCAACGATGGCTGGAATGCTGGGGACCAAGAGGAGTTCGGGGCACAGAGGAATCGGGGCAGTTGGCGGCTGGGGGGAGGGGGCAGCTTTCTGGTCTGAAAAAGAGCCCGGACCCAATCTGAGGAGTTCTACGCTCTTCTAGAGGTCCACTCCCCTGCCCGCGGCGGCATAAGCTGCACCGAGTACTCGCCGCTACCTGAAACTGCAGCAGCTTCTCTGTCTGCTCCTGGGTTAGATCCCGCTCCTCCGGCGCCGCCATTTTGCCGCCGCCTCTACGCTCCTGACCCGTCCACACCGTCACCCGCCGGAAGTGACCTCACGCACAACCACATCCGGTCTGAACCGCCGTCGGCAAGTAACTACATCTGCGCGCGCCGGCTCCCGCGCTCTTCCGCCTCGGCCGCCAGATGGCGCCCCTCTCGGGTGTATCTCGAGCGATTTAGGCAATGGCCGAGGTACTAGGAGACCTACTGATTTCGGTGATCAAACAATCCACTAGAAGTTCAAGATTACAGAGTAAATCTCAGAGAGCCGAGAGAGCCCGAATGTGCCTCTAGAAGCTTCAGAAAGTACCGTGTGCCATTTGGCTGATTTCCGTAGCTTCCTAATCATTTTCTAATCATCTCAATTATTCCTGAAGTTTTCTCAGGAAATCGTGGCCTGTCTGAAAAATACTGGTGTGATTCTTGGTTCTTGCTTCGGCGCTTCCAAAAATTCCTGGCCATCTTTTTGTCAGGATTGGAAAGTCACGGAATGCTGATGGGGCATTTCTGACACCTCCTTTGCACAAGTTTTAGTCAAGTTGAAATTCCAACTTCATCCCTTGCTGGGAGTACTTTGGCCCTGGTTTCCTTGGTCTCTCTCTAATGGTTAATGGCACCTCCAGACTTAAGTGGAGCTTTCCAACTACCCGGGTCGTGAACGTGCCCAGCCTCCTTTGGCTGCAAGCCCCCTTTTGTTGTTCAGCACTTGCGCCCGTGGTCTAACCCAGTGATCCATTGTCCTCCTGACACAGGCCAAAGAAAGATCCCTGGCCTAGGTTTGGGAGACTTAGGCTCGGGTTCTAGCAATTCTCCATGCTGTGGACATCCTCGGGCAAGTCACTAGAGTTCCATCTTGTCGTTGGTTGAATGAGACTTCCCGTAAAGCCCCAACTTGTCAACTGAGCTCTTTCTCCATGGAGGCAATTCTTACCCTTCGCAAGTGCTATTTCTAGTCTTATCCCTATCCCCTGGTTTCTATTTCCCTTCCACTGCCTCTGTAGAGCTCTCATTTTTGTTCTCACTTCTGTTTTCTTTCCCCCATTGTCAGCATCTTCTGTCCATCCTTCAGAAGACACTAGGGAAGCAGACGTGGCTCTCCTACAGTTTTTCTCTAATCGTTGTTAAAAATAAAACTTGTTGGAAGGTTGTGGATTTGAACTGGGTATCTGCAGTGAATCCAATGGACTGAAGGGATAAAAGAAGTTTTGGGTGGGAGGCTTTTTGAGGCAGGGTCTACCTATGTAGTTCAGACTGGCCTTGAACTCACTATGTAGTCCAGGCTGGCACTGAACTAGGAGCAATCCTCCTGCCTCAGCCTCCCAAGTACTGGGACAACAGGCATGAGCCACCACACTAAGGTGGATAAGAGAATTTAATCATAGTAATTAAATGTTGATTTTTTGCAAGAAGTCTGGTAGCTATTTGGATGGTGGACTAAGCTATGGCCAAGTAAACTATTTTATATGCCAGAATCATTTTTCCATAAATACTGTAGAATCACAGGTTTGCTGGGATTCTCAGAAACCATTCTAATTCTGGGTGTGCCCAATTTGCAACTTTTTGTTTTGTTTCTCTTTGCTCAGGTAAACTACCCAATAAAATTGGCCTAAAGAATTTTTCCTATTTCCAGGCATGGTGGCATATATCTATAATCCCAGCACTTGAGAAGCTAAGGTAAACTTAAAGTCAGCCTGGGTTACACAGCTTGCAAAAAACAAGGAGAGGGGGGATTTTTCTTTTAACATTACTTGTGTAAGTCCCACTTGTCCTCCTGCATCCCTGTGTCCATTAGAATCCCATCCTTGTTGCCTTGTAGAGTTGATCAGGCAAGATAGGTGAAGATGACAGGAAGGCCTTTGAAGTGCTATGTGAAGGGTGCACTAATGGGTGGAAAGACTTCCTCTTTAGCTACCTCTTTCTTTCAGATCTTTTATCAGGTCTTACCAGTAACCCAGGGCTTGCTTGATGGGCCACAATCATTTGTTGGGCATTTACCAAAAGAAGGGCCTACAACTATGCATAAGTGTCTTTTACAACTCAGAACTATCTTTCAAAGGGCTGGAGAGATAGTTTAGTGGCTTAAGTGCCTGCCTGGCAAGCACAAGATCCTGAGTTCAATCCCTGATACCAAAAATATGTAGATAAAGAGATATATATCTTTCAAGGATTTGGGAACTATTCTCAGGAATGCAACTATCAAAAGAATAAGACATCTGTCTCCGTGACTTCATAATTACCAGCCGATAGGCACAGCCACCCGCTCTCATAGGCACTTTTTTGTGCACCTTCTACTTTTCTGATTCTGAGCCCTCTCGTTCTCCCTGCGGTAGGACCCCTCACGCTGTTGAACTTGGCTCACCAGAACACTGTGGCTTGGTGAGCGGGAGGGAATGAGGCAGACCAAAAGCTGGTTAGCTTGCACTATCCTCAACTCCATTTAATGAGCTGTGTACTGGCCCGCCTTGGAAGCAGTCGCCTGGGAGAAAACAAGTAGGCAGCAGCAACATTAGGCCATGGGGGGGGGGGGAGTAAATCAGGCTGTTAATTAAATGAGCAAGCTGTTGTATTCTTTGGGAATGTGCAGGCAAACTGTGCAACAGATCTAATGAATGGGTGACCATAACCTTTCTTTCTTAGTTTCTGTTTTTGAGACAAGATCTCATTATGTAGTGCAGGCTGGCCTTGAAGTTGGCGATCCTCCAGCCTCAGTCTCCCAATTGCTGGGATTACAGGTGTATGCCACCACACCAGGGGACCCCAAGCTTTCAAACTCAGGCCTAGGAATAGTAAAGTTCTGCCCAGTTGAGAGCCCCCCCCCCCCGCGCTTCCTAAAATGTGCGTAGTTCTTTGAGAACTCATAAAAATGAATTGCCTCTTTCATTCTGGGCTGCTCCCCCATAGAACAGACAACCACCACCACTTCTGTGCACAAAACTGCCTACCCCACCCACGCTGCCTTCAGGACTGTTTGGTTTGTTTCCTAGGATAAACTTTCATTTTGTTGTTTGTTTTGCTTGGGTTTATTTATTTATTTATTTATTTGCAGTAGCAGGGATTGAACTAGGGATCTTGCTCTTGTCAGGCAGGAACTTATGCCAGTGAGCTATCCCTGGCTATTTTTGTCTTTTTTTTTTTTTGTCTTTTTGAGACAGGGTCTTGCTACATGGTTCAGGTTGGTCTTGAACTCATTTTGGGCTGGGGATATACCTCAGTGGCACAGCACCTGCCTGGAAAGCCCAAGGTCCTGAGTTCCATTCCCATTATAAAAAAACAAGAACAGCTCACTTAGATTAATCTCAGTGAGAGCTCTGAGGCTATATTCATCGGATCTTCTCGTTGATTCTTTCAGCACAAACTCATAATATACAACAAGCGGCACACAACCTGGGGCACGGAAGGTGACCAGAGGTGAGTGGGACCACCCGTGGGCCCTCCAATCCTCACACCAGCCAGTGCCCATGCCCAGCGTGTGAGTTTGACCATCTGCCAGCCAGCCGGATCCTCATTTGAGCCAGCGCACAGGCCCGCTGTGTGTGTGTAACTTTCCCCATCCGACAGGCCCTGTGTAGAACCCTGTGGCTGAACTCCCTGAAGGGAGGCTAGAAGCAAGACGCCCCCAGCTAATCCAGGAGCAGAAAAATCTTGCCAGAGTGTCACAGCAGGTTCACTTCCAAGGGCTGCAGCAGGAAGAAGTGGAGCACAGCTGCCGGACCCAAGCCACACCCACCCGGACAAGTTTGTACTTGGTAGATCCAGACCTGGTTCTAAGGTAGTAACTGCCCCAAAGCTCTATACCAAAGGTCAGAAGATGGTGCTATCCAAAATAAAGAGAAAGAGGCCGGGGAGATGGCTCAGTGGAATAAGCGCTTCCCTGGCAAGCTCAAGGGCCTGAGTTCAATCCCTGGTTCAGCCAAAATAAAGAGAAAGAGCATAATGCATTCTCAGGCCCTGAGCCCATCCAGAACAAATGCAGAAGACAATAGCAAAGAAGAATTTGGAAATCACACACCTGAAGTCTCTGAAATGAGTCTGAAGAGAAGAAAAAACTGCACAAAGGTATAAAGGAACTCATATCAGAGATATTTTCTGAAATAAGAAAAGAACCTATAACTATAACAAAGGAATTACTAAATGCTTCTAAAGTATACACTGATAAAAAAAAAATAGAGGAGATTAAAAAAAGATGGAATCCTTGAAGGAGCAACATAGAACAAAAATGGAATGCATGAGGGAGATGCAAAGCGATATACAGGAAATAAAATCCTCAATTGCAAGCTGGCAGAACCGATTGAATAAAGGTGAAAATAGAATTTCAGACCTTGAAGACACCATTGCAGCTCGTGAAAAGGAAGCAAACAATCTCTTAAAAACAACTAGGCGGCAGGAAAAAATACTTCAACATCTGCAAGATGCTGCAAAGATGAACAACGTAGGACTAATAGGCATCAATGAGAAAGAAGGAGTCAATACAAATGATATAAGAAGAATATGGGCAGAAGTCATAGTAGAAAACTTCCCAAATATGGGGAAGCAATCTGACATTCAGATAACATGCATATAGAACTCCAAAGAATGTCAACCCAATTAAAATCACACCCACACATATAATAATCAAGTTCCCAGAAATTCAG